CTTCTCGCATAGCTCCTCAAATGAACAGAATAATTGATATTAAATAGGTTGGTACAATAAGCTCAGAAGGAACCGATTTTTTCCGTGTATTTTTAGGAATATTCATCGCTTAACATTCGTCGACATCGCCGACAACAGCGTCGACAACGCGTCGGGCAACGTCGAGCACAGCGACAACAGGGGTACGGCAGTATCCGGGATGTTCCCACGGCCCCTTGCCCGTTGCTCTCATCGGGATTCGAACTCACGGCGTGCCCTCAGCCAAACGCAAGTGCGAAGTGCAAATGCAAAATAGACCTGACACTCCTGGTCAACCGTACGGAAAGTCACCTATCGGGTCATATGGCATGCTTCGCTTTGTAAAACTGAGCGTCCGAGGGTTTTTCATATTATAAAAGCAGACCGCGTGACCGATTGTCACGACCATGACGCAATCGTGACAGATTTACTTCCTGACCCACTGATGGTCGCCGTGAAAGGACATAGTGTCCTTTTTCCTGCCGTCCGGAAAAAGGACACCTGCTTTGCCCGCCGTGTAACCTTCGGTCTCTAACATTCAGTTTGAAATGCGTTAATTACACGTTAAAAAGACATATTAACATCGTCAAAAACACTTTTGCGGTTTAAAATGCTTGGTAGGCTTCCACTGCACTCTCCCGGAGCTGGTGGAGGTGCACTTCGCAAGCTGAAGTACGTCAGGGGGTCTTCACAACGTGATGACCCAATGATATTTGACTTACTGAGGTCTGGTCCTCTGCTGGTGCGTGGTGGATTCCATGCTACCGGGAGGGGGAGTTATAACACCCAAATCGGCCCTGCCTAGAGGGGTCTGTTGATAATATGTTATTAACCTGTTATTAACAGCAGTTTAAAACCGTGTAAATAATGAGCGACTCTTACACCGTACCCTAATGTGGGAGACAACGATTCTAGAGCGGACTTTGGGCTAACAGCGGGACCCATATCCCAGCGATGCGGACAAATTTACTAGCCACAAGCTGTAGACTGCCTCGTACGTGTGGTTTTCCACATCTCAGTGTATCTTGCAGTCCGAGCCAATCCGTGAGTGCTAGCAGGCGCTAGCCAGTTCAGAAGCACCAAGGGTGCCTCGGCAACAGCCGATACCTCTACCTATGGCGTCAGTACCATCCAGTATCGGTCCAGTCAAGGTGTAAGTCCCCGTGCATTTATACCAGTATTGAAATCGGCAGTAACAAGTGCGGCAACAAACCAGTCTTACCGTAGGGCCTGCAAATGGAGCGATCGGAGAGCTCTTCGCGAAAATCAAGTCTATAAACGACAAGCATGGCCCGTTCGACCTGGCTATATGCACTGGGGATTTCTTTGGGCCCCCGAGACCTAAAGAACAAGCTGCAGATGTAAATATGGAGGACGACCTTGATAAGCTGTTGGATGGACAATTGGAAGGTGAGTGGAAGTGTGCTGCTACATCATAACTCTACTCATGTACGGCAGCCCCTCTGGAATGCCTGGTTATGCAGGGAGAACACGCATTGCCAGAGCGTGTCATTGAAAAGGTCCAAAAGAGCGGAGGCACAGTGACCAAGAACGTCTTCATTCTGCGTACGTAGTGCGTATGCCTTGGAACGGTGACGTGAACTAACACATACCTGCTAGAAAAGTACGGCGTCATGACTACTGCGAACGGACTGCGAATAGCGTGCCTTGGGGGAACTTATGATGCATTGCAGTACGGCTCTACGGAGCTTCCGCAGGTAGAACTGACCTTTTTTCTGATTCCAGCGTTCATGTGTAACACCCCTTGCAGGACTTTACATGTCCTTACTTCACAAAGACAACGGTTGACAAACTGCTCACCAACACTAACAACGCCTCATCCAAAACTCAAAACTATAGTTCGGTCGGCGCGATCAAAAGCTCGCAGCTCATCGACATCTTCGTCACCAACGTCTGGCCCTCCACTATAACACGCTTCTCTTCTGTGCCACTGCCTTCTCCGGAGCTTGCTTCCATTGGTGCGCCGCCGGTGGATGAGATAGTCCGCGCAACCAAACCTAGGTATGTCTTCTCTGCAGGCGGAGGTCGACCGCCGAAGTTCTGGGAACGCGAGCCGTTCCTATGGGAGGGCGAGGAAGGCAGGAGTACGCGTTTCATAAGCTTAGGTGCATTTGGCGCTGAAGCGGTGAACGGGAAGAAACAACGGGTACGTACTGTCCAGAGTGCGCTCCAAGCTTGGTGTTAAGTACGGGGTTACGCAGTGGTTCTATGCATTCTCGATTTCCCCGCCGTCTTCGGAAGGTCAGGCCCCGGCGAAGCCAGCCAATACGACCGCAAATCCCTTTGCCGAGGCCAGGCCTCCCAAGCGTCCCATAGATGATTCGGAACCCGAGAACTTCATTTGGGGCAATGTTAATCAGCCTGGAAAGAGGCAGAGGCATAGTAAGCGTCTCACCAGGTTGTATGATTAACCGCCACCTGACTCTACCTTGCTACAGCCGCTGCGGGCGAGAAGAAACCCCGTCCCGGCTACAAATGCCGGAAATGCGACTCGACTGAGGTGGGTGTATGCACCGTGTTAGCCAACCCCGACTCTACTAAAACCGCCCAGCATTATATCCAAGATTGCCCGGAGCGAGACAAGCCGCCAGAAGGTTACATCTGCAATCGGTGCAAAGAGGTGAGTGGTCGGCGGCTGGACGCTGGAGGCGTACTTTCATCCCTTACACATGTCGGGCATCTAGCCTGGTCACTACGTCCGAGACTGTCCTACGAAACACCAACTTGGAGATACTGGAGGGAGGAAACCCCGCGAAGGCTACGTTTGTAGAGCATGCGCGAGTACGGAGCATTACATTGATGACTGCCCTGTTGCCAAAGCCGGGCCAAAGGAGGTTTCTCGCAGAGGTAAGAAAGGCCCACCGAAGGAAATTACTGGTGCGTTGTATGGTGAAGACGATCGTGGCGAGCGGGTCTTGATGGGCTTCATAGCGGATGAATGTTGGTTCTGCCTTTCGAACCCAAATGTTGCGTACGTTCCTGCCATCGTTGCTGCCTGTCTCTGCTTCAGCATTTACCTATTTTTCCGTGTGACAGGAAACATTTGATTGTCTCTATTGGCGCGGAATGCTACGTTACCCTCCCAAAGGGCCAAATAATCCCCACTCATACAGCCCAGAACTATTCTAACGTGCCCAACATACCTGGAGGAGGACACGTTCTAATAATTCCTATCGCCCATTATCCAACCTTCAGCTCCATCGCGCCTGAGCTCCGGGGGCCTGTACTCGCCGAGACAGAGAGGTAAGCTGGCCTGGTCCCCTGTCATTGTCTAACACACATTATCTTGATCATCGTAGATACAAATCAGCTCTTCGTTCGGTATACTCCAAATACGGAGCCGGTGCTGTCTTCGTAGAAATAGCGCGGCTGGGTCCGAAGGGTGGCCATGCGCATATCCAGGCGGTCCCAGTTCCTGTCAGCCTGCAAGATGGTGTTGAGGATGCCTTCATCCGAGAAGGCAAATCCCAGAAAATCGAATTTGAGAGCGATCCTGAAGGTGCACTGAAGGCCATCTCCGAGGACCATAACCGGAGTTACTTCCGCGTGGACTTGCCAGATGGCAGGAAGATGGTCCACTTGATACAGAACAATATTCCGTTCAGCATCCAGTTCGGGAGGTGCGTCTGCCTCGTCGGTCTGATCAGTTCGGGGTATTAACTGTATGGACTCAACTTCAGACAAGTGCTTGTAAACTTGATGGGCATCCCGGATCGTTACGATTGGAAGACTTGCGCCCAGTCGGAGGATGAAGACAAGTCAGACGCTGACGCTTTCAAGACTGCTTTCGCTGAATTTGATCCAACGCTTTGAAATCGTTCTACAGGGAATGTACAATGGCTGGCCAACACCACATCACGTGTATAATATTCCATTCGTTACTCAATCCTGTAGTTGGAAGTATGTTACTCCAAAGCAGACCCACCTGACCATGTCTTATAAAGGTTGTAATCAAGAAATGCCGAATACAGACCTGCTCGCGTCCCCGAGCCTCACACGGCATGGCTGCCAGTAGCGAAACCTCCATCCAGACTCTTCTTGTAGCTGTGACCGAAGTTCTTGGTTCCCTCCTTCCTGACCCTTCTTAGGATCCGTTCGATGGCATCGAGACCTGGACAATAAATGGTCAACATGACTAATCCCGCTATAAAACGTGCACCGACATACCCTTGTCCAGACTCTCCAGCGGAGGGCCGAAGGATAGACGGACGAAATGGTGGCAGGGCGAGTCGAAGAGATTGCGCCGGTGCGCGGGGTTGATATCAAAGAAGATCCCTGGGATGACAATCGTCTTCTCCTTAAGCAGTTCCTCGAAGAACGTCTATGCGCATGTTAATATCAGGGGGTCTGGGGTAACGGTTGGACTACTGTTTGAACGCACCAATCCATTGTTAAGAGGAACGGGCAGGTGCTCCAGATTTAACCACACGTAGAAAGTGCTCGAGGGCGGAATTTGGACGTGCAGACCCAGCTTGTCTAATCTGTGAAGGACGTGGTCGCGCTTCATCTTGAAGTGTTTTTGCAACGCGAGCTAGACACGCCGAAGTGAGTCTACTGTAACGTGCGTGCAAGCAGTGGGGCAGGTATACCTTCTCTTGTTGCACGCGTTCGGGATCAAGGAGTGGAATGGCAGCAAGTTGCAGGCTAAAAGAAATCGCGTCCAGGCTGCGGGACTGTGAGGTACGTGCATGAAAGGGACTTACGGATGGTTCGCGCCGCCGTCCAAGAATGATCCTGGCCGAACGTTATCCAAGTTCTATTTCAGCGATATACGCAGAATGCTCAATTACCTGATTGAGACAGCGCTGAAACCAAGTTCTTGGGTCCGATGACCCAGCATACGCGCCAGCCGGGCAGACGCCAGTTCTGTGGCGACCGTAGTGAGTTACCAAGGCGAAGCGAGGATTACAAGCGGACAGTACGTACCTTCGTCAAACCGTCGATGATAATCACGGAGTCCTAACGTGATCTGGTTAGCGCAGGTCGTGGACTAAGGCCTATGCATTTTACCTTGTTGACATCTTCTACGTAGGCAGCGGAGGATATCGATTTCCCGAATTCCCTTTCGTCTTCAGGGTATATGTACCAAGAATAGAACTTTCCGAAGCATCGTCAGAGAGACAGGTCGACTTGATTGAGTGCAATTGCGCTAACCTCATCTAGGACCAATGTAGTCGAGTGGTCTCTACTTATGGCCACGAGCTCCTTCAGCTCCTCTCCCCTATTCGGTGGAAGCAAGTAAGTGAAAGTATAGTGATTACAGCTGGATTAATTCATTACTGAATGACTTGTCCGGTCGGATTCCGCGGGTTCGACGCGATGATCACAGCGAGACCTTGGGACTTGATGTCTTTCTACAACAGTCCGCATGTCATGAAGCCTTTCAGAATGCTAGGGTTAAGTCTGCATACTCTGGTTTGCTTGATATCGAGCTGATAGAGATTCTGAAGATTCCAAAGTTAGAATCCGAAAGTGACAAGACACTCCAGTCACTCGCCTCTTCCTCCAGTCTACACCACAAAGTATTATAAGCTGCGATGCGTAGTAGTGATGACGTATGAAGTCTTACGCAGTAGGCACAGGAACCAGCCGTCTGAAAGCAGCCAGCACCTGATCATACGCTGTGTAATCCGGGACTTGATACGACTATGCTTCCACCGTTAATGAACCGCTTGTGGGATGGACCGAATATAGTTTGCTCACACAATAGACATCACCTATGACGGATGCAACACGAGAGAGCCCCGTCCTCCCCCCAGGTACGATGCATACGTTCTCATAAGTGTACTGGCTCTTCTTGCCTTGGCGGTAAGTGTGATTATACAATTTTGCTACGGCTTCTCGTAAAGCTTTGACGCCAGTCGTCGGGGCGTACTCGAGTGCGTCGACGGGGATGTCGACGTGCAGTGGGCGATCAGGGCCGTCGGGGAGAGGACCGGTTTCGGGGGCACCTTGACCAAGGTTAGCCCACTCATGGGAGCTCGCTTGATGAGAAGACATGGTAAGTGCGCGATCGTGTTTATGAGGGCAAGGAGCGCGTACAATAGCTAAATCCGTTCGCCATGGCACGGTCGGAGCAATAGATGACACCGGTGCTGCCGGGATGAACGATACCAGGGACAGTCTCTTCCTCCTGGAAATTGCGATGAATCTTATTTCAATTATTTCTAGAATAAAGGAAGCTGTCGCGTACGGGATTCACGGTCTGGGGCAAGAACGCTTTCGGCTTATGGCCCGCCGCTTCACGTAGGAGCTATTGGGAACCTTGAGTCCAGCACAACACCCACGTCGAATGCACCTTGTCCAACGCACCTGATGCGCTTCCGAGTCCTTTTCATGCTTGTAATTCTTCATTACTTGCTCAACCTATTCACGCGTCTAGCTCTCAGATCTCTCTTGAGTTAATCCTCTTACTTACCACATCGCGAAAATGCAGCGGGGTACCCGTGCGGGAGGGGAACTGGCTGTTTGGCTGGGACATGGTGGTAAGTTTTTAAGAGGTAAGACAGGTTGCGGGGCGTTGCCTGGCAGATCTGCTTTCGCCGCCATAGCGCATACTTATATCAGTCTCCAGAGCAGCCTGAATCTGATGTCAGCGCTATTATTAGCACTAGATCAGCCACGTGCGGGTGATCTCATTCAGGTCTGTTTTTAGCGAACCTACCTTACCGCCGGGGACGCTGCCGTCCAATAATTGCTCGAGATGAGTATGAATTGCGGTCAGAGCATACAGACAGAGTGGACTTGCGCAGCCTTTCAGTCCGATTGAAGATTATGGTGCATAGCGATTGAGCAGAGGGGATATCAAAATACACGAGCAAACATAGCGAAAGGACCAGAAGATCAGAACCGGAGAAGGGGAACAACGAGGCAGACAACGTTCCTGCGGCACTTCGGAGGGAAAATTGCGACAAGTTGTGATCAGCTGGCTGCAAATATCCATTGAGCATTATATGTCTGCGACGACCTTCCGGCTTCAGAGTCAATACATGTCAAGCTGAGGTCACGGTTGAGCTGAGGGGATAATGATGACTTGAAAGTTGCTTGAAAGCGCCCCGGAAAGCCTCGGCAAAGGCCGTCCCCACTCCGATCTACGACGTGGCGTTTAGACAAGCAGAGAATAAAAATGAGTCCGAAACACAGGTTGACTGCTTGTGTCGCATACACCACTTGTTATCTGGCGCTATATAAGTCGAGCTAGAAATCAGACAATAGACGATTAGAAGCCATGACATCCCTAACGTGCAAATTCTTGCCTGATCCCAAGACGATCGCTGTGAGTGCCGACTCAAGCTTACCGTCCGTAGAGCCCGCAAGCTAAGCAGTTCGTCTATCAGGTTGTTGGGTGCCCGTTCAGGTAAGTCACCATCCCATGAGTCGCTCCACGAACAGCTCATACATGAGGAACGGCAATTGCCTTGCAGTGGGGGTCAGGTACGCTGCGCACGTCACGTAACGAGTCTTCTCTCATGGATGCTGATCGCACTGCGTGATTTTAGCCGAAAGTAGGAGTAGACAAGGGACCCATCCACCTTGTCGAGGCCGGGCTCTTGACGCAGCTGAAGGAGCTCGGGTGGAACGTGCAGTTTGACGGACATCATCAGTTCGAGGAGATCTCGACCGCGGATGACCCGCCCATTGGGAAGCTGAAGAACCCCAGGTTTGTGTCGAGAGTCACGAAAGCTGTAGCCCAGGTCGTTGGTGACCATGCTAAGAAGGGACAACTCCCACTGACTCTAGGCGGGGATCATTCTCTGGTGTGTTATCCAACATTATTCCCCAGTGTTACCAGTATTAAGCGTTCGATAGGCCATGGGCACCATCTCTGGAACATTGGAGTAAGAAAATGCCGCTAAGGGCACAGTATTCCCGAATATCTGACACATTCTGCAGTACTTACCCTGACGCCTGCGTCGTCTGGGTCGACGCGCACGCGGACATCAACACCGCTGATTCCACGGACTCAGGTAGAGAAACACCTTCTTACAGCCACTCCACACACTCTGACCTCCCTAACCCAGGCAACATCCACGGCATGCCCGTTTCCTTCCTTATGGGCCTCGGCAGCAAGATCCCCGAGTTCGGCTGGGTCAAGTCCGCGCTGCGGCCAGACCGCATCGTCTACATCGGCCTGCGCGACGTCGACGCCGGCGAGAAGCGCATCCTGAAGGAGAACGACATCAAGGCGTTCAGTATGCACGAGGTCGATAAGTACGGGATCGGGAAGGTCGTCGAGATGGCGCTGGACCATGTCAACCCCAAGCGCGACAGGCCGATCCACTTGAGCTTTGACGTGGACGCGTTGGATCCGAGCGTGGCACCGTCGACTGGAACGCCCGTGAGATTATACCCCATTTTCAGAGTAGGGATCAGGATGAGCTGACAGGGTTGTATGTAGGTTCGTGGCGGGCTCACCTTCAGGGAGGGTCACTACATTTGTGAGGCGATCTACGAGACCGGTTTGCTGGTCGCGCTGGACTTGATGGTATGAACTTTGCGAAACGTAGATAGTGCCTCTTGCTGAAGCACGAACATTGTAGGAGGTCAACCCTTCCCTGGCAGACGAAGAGAGCGTCAAGCAGACGGTCACCGTCGGCTGCTCGCTCGTCCGTTCGGCGCTTGGTGAGTGGCACTGTTCCCATGATTGTCGTGGATTGTGGCTGACGCGGTCCATGCGTTCAGGGGAGACGTTGCTTTGAACATAGGAGTGCGGAAGAATGGACAAGGATATGCGAAACAAAGGAAAAGCTCTGTATCGATTTTATACGCAGGCCTGTCGTTGCCCTATCATCCGTGTAGCATAGACCTGATGCATTTCATTTTGTGGCTTTTGTGCAATATCATGCCAGTGTCCACGAGATTGTCCACGTCAACTCGGAGTACGCTTGGGGCCGCTCGAAAAAAATAGAATGGGTCACTGAACCTCGAGGCAATCTCTATAATGGGTCCTAGTAACTGACGTCGTCAAGTTAGGCGACGCGTAGGGAAGTCATACGCGAACCCGTTTACCTTACTTTTTCCAACCCATGTTCTTCTGCATTGTTCGAGCTCACATCCCTGGTCTCGTTTGCCTTGAATTAGAAGGTCAGCGTATCGGCACAACACTAATGAGCGCTTGTGTGGCCTCTCCGTCGGTCTGCCACCGTGCGTGTTGATGCGTTGACGCGTCCAGCCCTGTGGTGGCTGCGCTAACCCCTATACCTGAAGCCAATCCGGGCTCGCTCACGCTCCTGATTTGGGCATCCTTATGTCGCGCCGATGGCTGCCACACTTCTCATTTCAACGAGCTCTCTTTCAGGCCTGTTCTCGAAGACGTCAGCTTACCCGGAATGGTCTCAGACAATGGTGGCAGGCCGCATTTGTATATGGACGCGTACGTTTCGTGGCTTCACCTCCGTGATGGGCCACCTTTCCTTTATTGCTGGCGTGACATATAAGGGGCCCTGTTAGCTCGCTCTCTGTCGAGCACTCTTCCAACTGACTAGTTTTCCTTGGATCCCCTGTCGAGGTTGCTCTCATCATGGAAGCCCAGGAGACTGGCCCTAGCGTTGATGTGTTGACGGCGGATTCCGATGTATGTGCTTGTCTTATGAGAACTGGTTCGCTCGGACTAGCACACTTACCCACTCTTAGATTACGATGGATCCTCTGGACCCGACAAAGGGGTGGTTGTATTGTAGGCGGTGTGCTTGCACGTTTTGGACGAAATTTGGTCTTGAGCATATAAGATCATGGAAGCACTCTGTCGCTAGGCCACACCCGGGCTGGGCCGGTGCTGCTCCTGCTTCCCCTGCTCGCCTTCCACCCGATCTTCCTCCCCTTCGAGTTCCACGTCCCCGTGTCTCCCTTGCTCTTTTTGCACCTCCTGAACCTCCCGGCCCTCCGGTGTGGACCTTCCAGTTTTATCGACCTGGTCGCCGGCGAAAGTACGTTCCTGCTCTTGTTACTTGGTGAGCGACCTTGCAGATGAAGCTTACGGAACTCTGTACTAGGTGGAGTCTGAATCCCGAGGAGCAGCCCGGGAGGTCGGGGAGTATAGGCCCTGTGAGGACGAGCCGGTGTGTATATTTTTGTTGAACATCCCTTTGGCATCCTACGTATGCTTCTTAGATCCAGGAGCCGGTATGACCCTCGGCAATCAAGCAATAGGGCGCCTATCCGACGGCGGGAGACTAGCACCCTCGCCCGGGAAATCCTGGAGACTATTGAGTTCCCTCCCTACGAAGAAGAGGGAGTGGAGATTACTCCAGTCCCTAGAGAAATTCCCCTGTATGAGGAAACAGACGAAGAAGAAGAAGGGCCCCCCGTCATAAAAGAGGAGCTTGAAGATGAGCAAGAGATGGTGCTGCTCCGAGAGTCGGACCAGGCTGATTTCTCCCCTTCGAATGTCTCGACACGAGACCTCACCCCTCTGGCTGATGCTTGAGTAGAAGCCAGCTCGGAAGGACGGGCGCAAGCCTCAAACGAACGTCGACATCAGGAGCATTCCCGATAAGATGTCTCTTCAATCCCTATCGTTGTACTATCGTCTCTCCATTTACTAATTGTCCTTACTTCCTCACTCTCTTTGATTGTCTGTATCATTTAGACCTCTCCCGCCAACTGCATCACTCTCCTTTCGCTTTAAATTTCCATTCCAACTTTCTGTACACACGTAGCTGCTCTCATACTGGCTAGTTACATACACATTCTCTAGAGCCAACCATTTATGTCTTCGGCTGACGTATAATCGCTGGGTATCTGTACCAATACCATCGCCTTATATTCCGTCCTCAGCCCATCCATATAACCCGCGGCAGCAAAACGAAGTACGCGGCCATACAGGTAAGCAGATGGGCGGCGCACCACGGTGTGAACGCTAGTATACTCCTTTGCACACGCGGGACACAGATGAGGCCTCGCGCAATGCTCTGCGCGGTAGCGACACGAGCATCCCTCCTCGCGCATACTCCTACTCTCGCACTCACTGAGACCAGGTCTACATGTTCTGAGAGCCACGGAGGTCACGAACAGCTACCCCGCAAGATCAACTCACTATAACCGCGCCGCAACGACCGGGCGATCCCAACAAGCGCAAATGAAGAGCGGATAGTAGACAGACCCTCTCACGATTGTCGCACGGAAGCGCTCTACAGATTCTGCCACTGCATGTATGGCATGGAACCGGCTACCTTGTAGACCTCGAATTTGCGAATAAGTGAAAGGAACGCGAGAGCTTCGCGGATTTTGCAAATGGCCGTGAATGTGAAATGTATACGACTTTGTTCCGCGGATGGAGGACCGATTTCACGGACGCTGGTATAATTAAATGAGCGGAGGCGATGCGGAGGGGTCGTCCGAGATTGAAGGCTAGAACAGTGGCACACATACACCTCTGGAGGGGTGCAAGTGAGGACAAGGTGAGAGTGACCAGGTGGTGGTTGTCATGAGCAAGAATATACACACTTACTCAGGAGTTATTCCATTTGTGATTAGCTTGGCCGGCAGAGAAATTGTCAGGGGCATGATACGCAGGGGAATGTTCTGACGGACCCGTCTATGATTCCCTGCGTTTTGCGATGAGGTTAGGTGAGAGGGCAAGGTTGCTGGACCTGAACAAGGACATGGGATCGAACGGGCAGCAAAGTCCGAGAGTAAAACCCAACACAAGGCTTCTGTTTAGAGATGTAAAGAAAGCAACATCAACACTAGATCGCGGGCACACGCCTTGCAAAGGACCAAGTGAACACCCAAATGCAGACTTGATGGAATTTGCCAAGCGGAACTGCGCGCTCTGTGCTCTGTTAAAGGCGGCATGCCTTTGCCCGATTCGTTGGATGGGTGAGGCCCCCACTGATGAGATGCAAATCAGTCAGCCTCCTGAAGGATCTATGGTATCTTTTTGTGCTTGAGTTGAAGTGGGTAAATGGTGACTGTGATGATAAACTGGTTACCTACTCAGAGGACTTGGGGATCACCTGAATGGGAGCCCGCCAAGCGAAGCTGCGCACTCTGCTGGAGGTGGCATCACCAAGGAAGGCGGCTTCTGATGGTGCCGACTTTATAATGGGTGGTCCTCCCGTGACGAACGCAGCGACTTCACGGCTTGCATAACCAGACGGATCGTTCGATTCAAGGTAGCCTGGGTGACCTTGTAGCTGCTTGAGGAGACTCATAGCTAGATTAAAGTTTAACTTACATCAGAGCGAAAGTCGTGAGAGATAGCGCAACGTACGATGGATCTGTAACTGTGTTAGGATCCACGCCTAACTTTCGAATTTGACCAAACCGTAACCTTATGCTATGAGACCCATAAGATTATGGTTGGGTCACATTTGTAATCAACCTAGAGAGTCGCGTGAGCTGCTGCGATCTGGGTTGAGCGAAGAGGTATGAGTGGCAAGGTACGAAATAAGAATATAAGGGTGCAAAGGCATATTAAAGCTGGGATTGGCACAAATACAAGGAGCGGTGATAGATAGGCCGTAGAGACCAAGTTCGGCCGTTCTGTCTTTGGACGAGTTCCTGGCTATTCTGCCGAATTGTCAAGCGACCATCCTAGCTGTAAAGATATCCGGCTGTCATCGCTCAAAGGATTGCACACGCTGCCAGGATAATTCGCATGGTGTTCGGTGCCGACTCTGCGTTCTTACTGGTCCAAAGTCAACCCTAGGGTTAGCGCAAAACACGCGACCGTCTAGCACCATGTCAAGATTCGGTCCAGATACAGTGCGGGGCACAGATCGCTGGATAACCTCGGAAGTATATACGGATGCAATAAACTCAAGTGCCAGATCTGCGAGTTCAGGGCACCAAGTACTTGGAAATACAACATTGGGATAAGAGCGTGCCCCTGGACACGGTCAGCTCGGAACCGCATAGGTGCGGGCCAAGGAAGAGACGGAAGGAATGGCGAGGGACATTTGCCTTTTCGAGAACAAGGCGAGCGCCAAAAGGAAAGTGCCGGGGTGATGGCCGCACGTGGGCGAGCCTGAATAGCAGATGGCTCCCACTGGACGGACTATTGTAGGCAGACCTTGTCCTGTATCGAGCAGGCATTGTTCGATTCGTGTGTTGCAGCGCATTCATCATGTCCTGGCTCCCGTACGCCGACGCGTGGACGGCCCTATATCCATCATCCTCTTCCCTGTTCCTGAACTCTTCCACCGGCCCCGAATAACAAATCTCTCGCAGGCCGAGCATCCTTCTCTGTATTTAATCAACGCGTCCCGCCCTTCATCGACCCCAGCACAGGGCAGCGAGCCCGCCATAGACACCCCAGCAGCCGCCATAACTTACTTTCACGACTTGGGCTAATTTATTCCTATTATCATGGTCGCTGTTAGATCACTCGTCTCTGGCCTCCTGCTCCTCGGTTCGACCCTCGCCTCGCCCGTGCCCTCCCCCAGCACGAACGGCATCAAGCTCCCGTTTCCGCCTATCACGCCCAAGGGCCTCCTCTGCCAAATTCCGATAGTGAAGGACTTCCTCTGCCCGCGTCAGTCCTCGTCGGGCACGTCTGTGAAAACACCTCTCGGTACGGCCCAGGGCACTGCCGACACGTCCAATGCGAACCGGTTCGTCGTGAAGTATGCTTCGGCAAATCGGTGGCAAGCCTCAGTTATGACTACCAACTGGACCCTGCCGTAAGTAGCCCTCCTCTCTCGCAGTGCTTTGCTCACGCGACCGCGTTGGTTCAGCAATGGAGCTACGGACCCGTCTGCCCTACCGCTGTCTTGCCCACAGCCAGGCGTGGATGACTCGGCATTCTCGGAAGACTGCTTGTCCATGATGATATACGTCCCTTCCAGCGTCAGGCTAGGCAGCAATGTCCCAACCATGCTGTGGATCCATGGCGGTTCTTTCATCGTTGGCGCGGCTACAGGGCCGGGCTTGGACGGCTCCAGCCTCGCATCTGCCACGAACTCCATCGTCGCAGTGGTGCAATACCGTTTGGGAGCTGTAAGTGATCCTATGTTATCTTGGAGTCAGTTCGCTGACGCTCGCACAGTTGGGCTGGATGGCGCCCAACGGCGATACCAACCTCGCCCTGGGCGACATCATTATCGCATTAGGCTTCTTGAAGACAGTACTGCCAAGCTTCGGCGGCGACCCGTCGCAGATCACCATAGCCGGCCAGAGTTCCGGGGCTACTATGGTCAGAGCCATGCTTGCCATTCCCTCTGCTTCCAGCCTCTTCAACCACGCGATCATCCAGTCGGATCCCATGGTATGCTATCACTCATTGCTCATTTTAACACAATCTAACCGCAATCCACAGGACTACGGTTTCCAATCCCCAGGCACCCAGCAGACCCTGCAGAACTACTTCAACGGCCTGCTCAACTGCTCCCCGTCCGACACTGCCTGCCTGGACGCCATCTCGCTCGACGACCTCATCAACGCGCAGATGAACCTCTACAGCACCGCCTACTCGCTCGACCCCTCCGCGACGCTCTCCGAGCCGATGCGTCCCGTGCACGACGGGCAGCTGATCACGAGCACGCTCGACTCGTCCTCGCCCTTCCCGCGGCAGAGCAAGAGCATCCTGGTCTCGACCGTGCTGAACGAGGCCGGGCTCACGATCTACGGCAACTACGACCAGCCGCTGCCCGAGTCGCAGTGGGAGCCCGCGGTGAACGCGACCTTCGGCGCCGCGCGCACCGCGAAGATCTACAACGCCAGTGTCTACGCCGCGTCGCAGTTCGCCGTGGGCACCAATGGCAGCGCGAACGCGAGCACCACCGTCGACGCGCGCGCGCAGCTGCAGGAGCTCGGGACGGATTATATTTGGAAGTGCTCGAGCTGGACGTTCGCACGGAACTGGGCCGCGAACGGCGGCACGGTCTATGCGGGGCTGTACGTCGTCGGCTCGAGCTACCCGGGCAACAGCGCCGTGCCGTACTGCACGCAGGCAGGCGTCGTGTGCCACCAGGACGACATCCAGATCGTGTTCGGCATGGCGCCGAGCCCCAGTACGGCGCAGAGTGCGCTGATCAGCGAGATGCAGGCGCGGTACGGCGCGTTCTTCCGCACGGGGAACCCGAATCCGAGTGGCTCGTCCTTGCAGAGCTGGCAGGCGTCGGGCACGAGCAACGTGAATGCGGTGCTGCTCGGCGGGAGCGGGCTGGCGCCTGTTGGCGCGTGCGACCCGTCGTACTGGGGGGAGGCGGTGCAGTATGACTACCAGGTCTACGGCATCTGAGGGTGGCTGTCGCTGGGGACTGCGCGAAAGAGGATAAGAAAACAAATGTCTGTATCCATCCTGCCTTCCCACACACTCTTTTTTCGCGTGTTTCTTGTTCCTATACCTAATTTGCCTTTCTTTTCTCTCTCCTTGTCGATTTTTCTTTCATTCCTGCATATAGCTTCCTGGCATTGACAACTTTGTTCCGGTTTTGGTCTCGTGTTTTCCAAAGGACTCTCATACGCCTCTGTAGCATTGCAACCGCGTCTTTATTCCTCTCCGGGTTCTCGGGTACAAAGATAATAATTGATGTAGCTTTACGATCGCCAATACATTATGCTGTCCCTAATATCACTAGAGGGTCCGATGAACGTCCGCTGAGATGTGAGGGTAGTCCTACTGTACAAGTGATTACAACGGCCGTGTCGTAAATGGGACATTACATATCGCATAGTATAACATAAATAGGAGCAAGATGGCCGGAGAGGGAACGTCCATGTCCGGGGTCACAGCTTCGCGTGCGGTGTGAACGCGTGAGGCTCGATTTCCGAGAAAATGTCAAAGTTGCGCAGCAGCATGTTCTCCGTAGGTACCTGCGCGGAAAGCGATCAGCAATCATCCTGTGAGAAATCTGGTAAAATGGCAGCACTCACCCCGCCCTTGCCGAAGCGCACCAGCGAGCGGTGCAGGCGCCCCTTGGCCCCGCCGCGCGTCTCGTCGCCCTCGTACGTGAGCACCGTGCGGCCCTCGGCGTCCGTGCCCAGCGCGCGGGGGTTGATCACCATCCGCCCAAACGAACCCCTTGAGAGCTGGTACACGCGCTCACGCTGCTCTCTCGTGTTCCGCTCGCCCTGGAGGATCTCCGCGAGCGTCGAGAGGAGGTAGAATTGCGGGGGCATGAGCGCGATGCGGCCAGAGGTGTAGGCGAAGAGCGCGGTGGCTGGGTGCAGGAAGGAGGCGGCGACGACTTCTTGCCCGCCGTCGGGCGTGGGGAGGCGGGAGTGTTTGCTGCCCTCAGAGAAACCGGAGGAGGAGGCGTGCGGGAGGAATGTGATGAAGAATTGCGCGTGGAAACGTCTGGAGAGGCAAATTGTCAGATGGGAGGTGCGGAAAGAATGTGAAGGGGAACGTACCTGGGGACTTGCACGGGAGTGACCCAGCTTGTAAAGGGGAAGAGGGACTGGATGTCGGGCTCGAGGCGGCATTCGGTGAGGAAGTGGCTGAAGGACATGTGGTTGGAGTGGATCGCGTTGCGGGCTTCGTTCAGAACGGCATCGTCCAGGTCGGGTTCCCCGCTACGGTCAGAAGAGGCTAGTAATAATCCCGTTTCCTCGAATGTTTCCCGGATAGCTGTCAGGGCCAGGGAGTCATCCTGCTTGGGATCGAAGTTGCCACCGGGGAAGACCTTTGAAGATCGTCAGCGACAAGAAGCAAATTCCAAAGAGGGCAGACTCACGTAGGTACCTCCGAACGAGTTTGCCTTTGGATTCCTTTGCACGAACAGGATCTCGTTCCGTTCGTTGACGATGAGCGCGCTCGCAGACGGTCTGGGGATCGCAGGGACACTGCTCGTAGACTGAGCTCTCGTCACCGTCGCTGTGGCCATTCTGGAAAGATTTCTTGTCGCACTGATGTTATGGGTAGATATTGGCCGGGTTGGTGCTTGAAGCGAGTGGTTCACTCGAGCGGCGACGCGTATGCGTGCCATCTTGACAGCCAGCATGTTTTATGCAGGGTACGGGCCAGGGGTGTCAGCTTTCCGCGTTTCAGGCAGACGCATTAGACCGGCACGCAGCGCCGTGGTCGCAGCCAAAACACTTTGCAAAGGAGTCGCAGCGAGCGCTGGAATGATGAAACCAGGCTCGATCACGGAACTGTGATAAGATAGGAAACTCGCGGTGGGCGCCTATTTCCCCGCCTTCCTTATCGGTGGGCTATTTGCCTCCGCTCGAATGTGGCTGAGCTGTGGCCACAGCATTCGGGCGTCAGAAACTTGAGCAGAACATTGAAACACGGTGTCCATAGCTTGTGCATTTACCCGAGATGTTCAGGAGAACGCGACGGAGTATGATCGATAGAGCTGGGTAGAGCGCGATTTGCCGGGATAGACAGACATAGACAGACAATAATGGCAGCGAATAATATGACAGGGCGTGTAAAAGGAGGAGTCTTTGAGGCGACCGGTGACTCACAACCAGCGCTGTGCTGCGACACGAACTCAGTGACTCAATGTAAGCCAACCATGCCCGGATGCCAGAAACAAGCTGTGCTTGATAGTACATACGGTAGGTAAAATAAGACCGCCACAAGCTCTGACGTGTTATCTCGGAAGGAATTTATGTTATATCTGTGCCCATATACATCACTGTGTAGTGAGCATCGATGATGTAAGCCGGAGAGCCATTTTCTCGAATCATACAGCCTGGGTGGAATGGGTGGAAGGACCGGCCCAAGTGTGAATAACTAGAGTCCACTTGTGAGAAAATATCTGTGGGGGTGGGGACTGGTGGGGAACCTGCCAAAATCTGAATCCCAACGTCAGGAAACAATAGATTCTATGGTTGTTTCCCCCGGTTACACAGCCCTGCATAGGTCTATAGAGGTCCGCAGAGGTCGGACAGGTTAATATGAACAGGAGGAACTAGTTTTTGGGGTCATAAGTGAGAGGCGTTTCCTGATGCAAATTCAGCACGATATTCGATCTGAATCCGAAAGGGCCAACATAGTGTGCTCTACTGGGGTTCGGAAAAGGGTTAGTCGTGTGCGTAGGTACGAATGCCAGAGGACTCAGTGGCTAGCTGCTAGATACCAGCAGGTACCGGATCTGCGCCCACAGCTAGTATTATTTTGTATACATTGAAATTTGACAGCCACTCCGCGTCGACGGTAATAGTCCATTTTTGACACCACTCAATATTGACTCGGATATCAAGCAATATGCCCAACCTAGGCCTCCTTCACATTTCGGGGCGACATTCTGAAGTTTGAACACGACAGTACAGACCTACATAGTAGCAACGACAAACAAATTTAACTTGACTCTTGGGGGCATGCAAGAAGAGCCGGCTGTCCAAGTTACTCATTGACCTGGGGCTGACCCACAATCGGAGGGACGGTAGACTCCTCTTCCCCCGAGGGAGGCGCAGAGGCTGGCAACGGCGGAGTCGGTTTCACGGGAGGAAGCATGCGTGGGTGCTCATACTTCCCGGATATCGCCTGGATCTTCGCCCATACAGATATGAGTCTGTCGATATAAGCTTCCACGGCAGAGTCTCCTGCATGCTCAGAAACGAGATAGGTGAGTTCGTCCTCATTGAGTTCTGCATGGTGCACCACCGAAGTGCAGAAGACATCTGAGAGAGATAGGAGTTAGGACACATGTTAACAGTAGAATGCGGCAGGGCCCACAGCAGAATACGTTCTCCGAATTGGCCATAACTCCTCTCCCCTCAAAATTATAGCGCCAGATCTACAACTAGATTAAGGAAAACTTGAACTCGCTACTCATACGAAATCGGTTGCTCACCTTGACGTCAATTCGAATAATGGCGTTGTGGTGTACAAAGACGAAGAATTTTTGTTCTTGTTGTTCACCTGCATTGGCATTCCCAAGGATAGCATTTAATGAGGTATTAATGAGTTTCTATGCCATGAAACTTATGAGTCGCCCGACAATTGTACCAAACTTGACCTCTCACCCGGAAGCCTTGGAGAATTGGATTACTGTTGTCCGAGTTACTATCTCCACTACCAAAAAAGGTATTGACGACCTCCCCAATTCCACCATCGATGCTCTATAAAGGACATCAATCGTTCTTGCAAGCAGCACATATCGAACGCTACAGACCGTTTGCTCGACACCGACACGGTAGCCACGTTCCCAGCGGAGGGCACGATAGCCAGGGACTACTGTCTTTTTGACAGCATCGACGTTTGCAAACATTCTGCCCTTGTCATCAGCGCGTTGCAGCGTCCAAAATACGGAGACCATACTGGTGTAGGTCGCTTTGGTATTTGTCTAATTTCGAGTTCGCAGCATTGACTGTGTCGGAAATAGTCATTCAATTAAATGATACTGTAGGAAGTAGGAATACCCTTCCGACACATACCTAGGAATGTAAGTTGTTCTTTGACGTTCCTGGCCACAGCTTGGTCACCTTCGCTAAGACTCTGTCGAAGGGTTGCAATGGCTTGACCCATGGCCGTTGAGAGTAAAGAGATGATCTGGAGATATTCAAAGGTGTGAAATAAGTGTCGAACGGTGAGGGGAACATGAATGCGCATTGACTTTTATATCTCTGCGAGGGGCGCCAATAATAGGATTTGAGAAATTTGAGTGCGAAAAGAGAGGAAGCTTTGAGGTCATCAGCTACTCACGTTCAGAATTGTATCTACCACGTTCCGGGGTTGGGAATAATGGTAGCTAAAAACATCTGAAGGACAGATGCATGGAACTTAGCACTAGGCCCTATGGCTTAGAAGAACTCAACTTAAGCCATGTCTGGGTGCTAGAATCAAGCTAAGCTTGATCATAGACAGCCAAAGCGATTTCAGGAACGCCATGACAGAGATGCAAGGGGCGGTAGCAATTGATCAACGTTCCGATGGGCTGTCTCTGGAGAAACATTGAAACACGGAAACAGGGTTTGCTTGAGTCTCGACGGTATGCCGTAGATGGCTAAAGCAAGAATGATACAAGGAAAACATAACACTGGGCGGCAATTACTCAGCGTTCTGACGGGCTATCTCGGCAGGGGACATCTCATTGAACCATATCTGGATGTTAGACTCGACAGCGGACTTTGCTTGACGGTGAACAGTCGAGGCAAGGGAGACGTAGGATACAGCCACGATTTACCAGCGTTCTGGAGTGGTATCTCAGGACGAAGACATGATATATTCGTGTCACGTACATTGCCGTGTAAGCTTGCATGGAAGCACGAGAGCTATGTGCCTGTTGGACATTCCCTCGGAACTGCAGGCAGATTGGCCGGGGTACAGAGACTTCATTGTAAACCGGCGAGGGCTAGCCCTAGAAAACCCTCCATGTCGTGGTATTCTGACCGTAGCCGGAGAGCATAGAATATAGTGGTCACGGCAATCAGCCTGGCCTGTTCCCCTGCTTTCTGGCTGTTAGCCACCTTCGCGTTACAGGTTTGAACAGGGGGACTTATCAGGGTAACTCAGAGTAACTCTCCTAATATTGCGGCAATAAGCGGTAGAGTGTAGGTAGCTCGCTCCTGTTTTGTTGAACGGTTGTGCTTGTATGCCATCTTTCCCACGTTTGTGTTGGCGCTATATAATGGCAGAGATTTGATAAAACTACGGAGGGAAAGAAAATCACTACAACCCTATGAGCAGGTGAATACATCAGGTCGTCAGAAACTGTACAATCTACTGACCTTTCACGTGACAGGGATGGCAGATGAGTCTCACAGCACCTTGAGAGCTCATTAGCACCTATTCCTGATATTCGCTCGGAAGCCCTGGCTAGGGTTCCCGGCAGGTCCGAGCCAGATCAAGACATTGGCAGGCCAGACCTTACCACGGCACTGGCACTCCGAGTCGGAGTCTGAACCTACCTTTGCCTCTTCCTCTCCCGAGGAATATCAATAATTTACCAAAGACCTTGCAAGTAGCCTTCCATATACCTCATCACCTAGTCGTGTCAGAAGGTCAAACATTTGGGACAGCTTGCGGATGTGTTGGCGTCGGAACTCGGAAGGACGTGGATATGAGGAAGCGCGCCAACCACGTGATTCCCTATTAGAGTCACCTGCCCGTTTTACGTAAGCGTGAGTACGCGTTCTTGTATACCCTTGTCGGCGCCACTCTGTGTTCTTTACCTTCTTTCATTAACAAAGTCGAATCAATAACGCGTCACGCACGGGGAGCTACGGGGAGTAAGACTACTGACATGTTCATGGAAGAGCCATCGCAAAAAAAACTCAAGCTGGGCGATGAGAGCGGCCAGGACGGTGGAGTGGCGGAAGCGTCTGTAGTAGACGCAGAGGTATGTGTTCCTTTCTTGTCCTCGCGCGTGTAAGCTGAATGTTATTGGCTCTGATCGGGAAAGCAGACACGACTGGAGGACTCTGTGCCAGAGCGGTATATCGAACTGGTGTTTACGTGGTCCAGCAAGCCGTTTACTTTATCCATCGCCGAGTCCGATAGGCACGTGCAATCAAGTTCATCTTCCCGTTGCTAGTGCTCATAGCGGCTCAGGGTATTCGATCTGAAAGCGTCTCTGCAGAGCCTCACGAACGTCCCTCCGGAGCGTCAGAAGATTATAGGACTGGTCAAGGGAAAGCTCCCTGCCGATGACGTCTGCGTGTACGTGCATCCTTCGGTCCATATTTTGGCATCCGCGCGTGGGGACTCTATACTCACTTCGCAGGCAATCTATCAGTGGTGATTTAAGGCTTGCGCCTGGCAAAAAGTTCACGCTGATCGGCACTCCACAAGGAGACGAGATCAAGGACCCTTCACGTAAACGTCCCACTTGCTACACTCTCATGGAGTTCTGATCTCTTTGTTCGACGACCCAGAATTGGAATTCCTCCCGGACGTTCTGAATGATCTCGACATCGACTTCTCCGCCGCGCCCGAAGCGGCAGCCGCATATCTGCACGACCAGCGGAATAAGCGCAAAATCCGGGAGATCAGTGCAAAACTGCAGGTTAACATTATCCATCCGTTGCGGGAGGGGAAGAAGTTATTGGTGCTGGACATCGATTATAGTAAGGACGTTTTCGTCCTGTCCCAGTTTGCCCCGGGTACGCGTGCTGAGGCGACTACAGCCATCTTAGACACGAAACCCTTAACATCTGGTGCTTTGCCTCCGCAGGAATGTGTTAGGCCTCGCTTGCACGAATTCCTAGAAGCAGTTTACCCGCACTACGATATATGCATATGGTGCGCTAACCCTTTCCCCAGCACCATCATGCACCTTTCATCTTGTCCATAGGTCACAAACAAGCTGGGTCTGGCTCGAGACGAAACTCGTCGAGGTCGGCATGCTCGGCACAGAACGAAATTATAAGGTGAGAGTACGCGCCTCTCATTTTTGTGAACCGGCTGACGCGTGGCAACCAGATATCCTTTGGTATTCGGCACCGATCTTACGAGTGCGAGGCAGCGTAGATGATGGAGATTGACATACAGTGCTCGACAAGACAACCATGTTCAGCGTATTCTCGACGCGCAATGGTCAGCCATATCGACACCATGTGAAGCCATTACAGATCATATGGAACCGCTTCCCACAGTAGTGAGTGCATGCTTGGTCTGCGGTGACGGTGACGATAGATCTGGGCTGTAGCAGTGCGAAGAATACCATCCACGTGGACGACCTGGTAAGTCATACGAGATCTCTTGCGATGTAGGTGCTCAGGTTCGTGGCATGTCTAGGCGCGGAACTTTGCTCTGAACCCGCGTCAGGGGCTGAAGATTTCTGCCTTCAAGGACGCACATACGCCACGCGCGATGTCCGATCGGGAATTGGACAAGCTGGCGATCTATATGGTCCATATAGCCGATCTCGATGACTTGAACAAGGTCCAGCATAAGGTGGGCCATGTTGGTGATTTTTTCATTGTGAGCGGTTGCTTGAGCTCTTTTAGGACTGGAAAAATGTGGTCCGCGGCTTACGACCGGATTTCGATGCGCCATCGACATGAAAACAGGATCATCGTACGTTTTACCTAGGCCCTACTCATTGGTATCTGGAGCCATTGCATGGTTTTTGGACGGATGTTGGATTATTAGCACTGTAAAACACATTGTGGATATTGCAAGCGAATACCATTGGCTATCTTGCGCCAACCAATCAGAGGACTTTCCGATCGTGCAAATCGCGGACTCGACTCGCGTCTCCGACTTCGTGAAGTTGTTGATCCTTGTGTGACTATCCTCTTGTTGCTCCCCGGTCACGTACATCTGCATTCTTATGGCTGCTCCTGCCTGCCGATAAAGCGCGGCATTTGCTTGAGTCAAGAAGGGAGATTTCGAAGGGATCATTCTTCAAGTCAGTGCTGAGAGGAAGTTCGGGGCGAGACGCTGATCATACGCGTTCGGTATGTGGTACAAGTCCAACCAGTAACGCGCAGGCTTCGATTTTCTGAAACAGCCCCCCCCTCCCCACCAGTTTCATGATATCTCGACTCGGCGCTGATGCATTCTGGAACCGCCTGCACCTTCTGTATGCATACGAAGCCGAGAAACGCGCCCTGCGCTACACGCAGCGCATAGACCGCTCCGAACGCAATCACGATGCCCCCGACTTGGAGTACCGCCCAGGACAGATAGCGTACGCGTGGGGCGGCAATACGAACGCGTACTTTGACTTCCTCGCCATGCACAGGTACAAACTCAATAAGGAGGAGCGCGCACTTGAGCAGTACTACCGGCCTTTCGCAGCAAAAAAGCTTATTGGCAAGTACTGCGTCATCCTGAGCCGCTTGAACCACGACCCGCACGAGAATCAGTATTTGGTGTGCTTGTTGTCGACGTTCGGGGGGACGGAGCACGCGAAGGAGGTCAGGACGCCTGTGAATCGGTTCTTTGCGGTGCCCATGGGTCCGTGGATCGAGGGCTCAGCTGGGAATATTGAACCCATCCACACGAATCCGCCGTGGAACAAACCATCGTTCGTGTTCGGGGCGCCCGTGATACGCCGCGTAATCACCTCTGCGCGACTGCCGTATCTGTATAGCCTGGCTCCCGGGGAGCTGGACCGGTTGCTGGCCATTCTCCGCATCAAGGTTGAGGTGCGTTTGATCTTGTTACTCTCCGGTGGTTTGCTCTGACGATTGGTTTAATTGCCGTCGCAGCGATTCCATAAGCGCTCTGACGAGTTGAGAGCAGAGTTCTTGTATACTCTGCGTCACATCAAATCTCGTGATGCCCGTGACCTCGAGAGGGTTGAAGAGTTCGCAGAGGACGTCGATCCTACGCGAGCATACTTGCCTCGCGAGACGCGTCGGCAGAAGGAAGCCAAGCAGAGCGAAGCCGCTCGCGCGAGGGCGGACGTCGACGCGTCTCGATGGGATAATGGGCCAGGGTCGAAGAAGAGGACCTACTTCACTCCTTTACACTTGTTGTCCACGGGCGGGCATGATATAACATGGCCGCTACAATACGTGGAGCACGACATTGTGCATTCGTCGCCTGTGTTGTCACATCGGAAAGTCTACAACACTGTACTCAAGAATTTACCTCCGAGCCCGCAGTACGGCTCGTAGGTGATCGTTTCGCATATGCGCAGGAGGTGCGTTGAAATGCAGTGATACAGTTTAGCGCGAGGCCCGCCGCCCAGCGTATCACCAAGAATTTGTGGCCAATGCTGCTGCATCAATTTAGCAAGGACACACGTGACCACTGGGTACAATAGAGTGTTGTCCCAAGGAGCCACTCATATCTCCAGGCCGACTATCCCGTCTGCGACTACATCGAAGGAAGCCAGCGAGGATGGCGCTGTCGCGGGTATGGTTAGAGGCACGGCATAATCAAGCAGGGCTCTGCGTGTGGCTCACCCGTGTGAGTCGGCCGTATTGCGCGGGATATAGGCTTGGGCCGGACGATGTGCGTGGAGGCGTCGTACGTCCACTGATGGGCTTGGATCGCTGCGGGCAAATCGTGAGCTACCCCCTTCTTCTAGCTAAAGTGCAGCCAACAGGATGGATACCTTGGATTAAGGCTTCGGACGCGAGCCCGAGGAATATCTGGGCGTGCTGGAGGGATAATGAGGAGTATGCTTTGGACAGGAGCACGAAGGTCCGCTGCCGGAAGTTCTCTAGTTTATTCATTGTGTATAGTTGTGACTGGAGTGAATGTATAAATGGCGCTGGGAACGTACGGATGAACTCGTTCAGAAGTGTTTTCACGATTGGGACGAGGTCGGGGGCCGCGAAGTCCGGCTGGGAGACTAGGTGGTCGATTTGTTCCACGCGGGCGTATATTATGGGGTAGTCTCGCTGGTACGTAGCGGACAGCAGATGGTGGAGGTCGATGCACAGGGGCTGGGAGGCGAGATTAGGTGGTAAACGTTCGAGGGCGTAGCGGGCGGGGGGTCTATGTGATTGTGAGACCCAGCAGTCTGATTCTGCTGGAACTAAGGACGTACATCTGGTCGAGGATGAGGTATGTTAGGACTAGAGGAATCGTGACGAGTAAGTGGCTTGGGCTTGCGTCTACCGTGGCCTACAGCTCGATAGGTTTCAAGATTCAGCTGCACATCAAGTAATCTGAATCGTACACTGATCTCAGCCTCTTCGGCGACACGGACGAGTTCATCATGGCTCTTCTGCGCTGTGAGATCCACTATGATGGGAAAGACGACAGTGTATGGGTCTGGGCTGGGGGGTTCTGCCACCGCAGGTACGGCCTGAGCTGGGGGTGGCGCAGCGGGAGGGGGCACGCTCGACCGAGCTTCGTCCATGAGCTCTTTGCTGGAGGTTGGGGGAGGGGTAGGAGGGCCGCCGCTCATTTTGATTGCTATATCTAGCGATTCTGAGTGAGTTGTAGATGAAAGTAAGTAGCAGCACACGCTATGGCGGAGAGGATAGAGCTTGCAGCAGCCACCTGATCGGGCTTGTGGCGCGAATGGATAGACGCGCCGACGGCAGTGCCGCGAGCGCGGTCTCCTGAACGCCATGGACAACCTCGAGGAGGAGATCGAGTCTATCCTGTACATCGGCAGGGAGGTGTCTGGTGAGCACACACCCCGCTGACATCTCATTTGGTCCTCATATGTGTATATTTTCGCATCTCAAGTGTACAAGATCCCCCCTCTCAGGAAGAACGAAGGCCATCGCGCGAATGACTGGGGCGACCTCGCGAATCCGCTGTGGAAGGGGCGTCTGCGGATAGTCGAGAAGGGGGACGGGGTCATGATGTACTTCGAAGATCCACAAACTGGTGAGCGGGGCCAACACATGTAACCCCTCGTTTCTCCCGCTAACGTATCAATCCCTCACCAGGCGAATGTGCGAGCCCCACCCGCTTATGACACCGCGAAATATCTTCTGATGCTATCCCCCGACCTGATCCCGCAGTGTTTGCCAAGACAAAGTACGACCCGCTGAAGCCGCCCGTGGACGCCGTGCTCGACTCGTCGCGCTACTTTGTCATCCGCGTGGAGGATGAGGGCAAGAAGGCGTACATCGGCATGGGTTTCGCGGAGCGGACGGATAGCTTTGATTTCAGTCAGTCTTCCTGCCGCTGCTATTGGGTAATGCGCTATGAACTGACGCGGTGCTGTAGATGTTGCTCTTCAGGATTACACAAAGTAAGCTGGGAGCCAACCGCTCACGCGCGCGATGTTCTGACGATCGTACCAGGCGATACAAAGCCAAGCTTAACCCCCCCTCACCAACGACCGAAGACCCTTTCTCGTCGCCGGCCGCACCTACCGGGCCCAAGAAAGACTATTCCCTGAAGGAAGGGCAGACGTTCTCGATAAACATTCCCGGGCGGAACAGGGCGAATAACGCCAGTTCAGGGGAGAGCCTGCTAGGGTCGAGCTCGGCAAGCAGCTCCACGTCGTCGTTGGGCGGTGGGATACCGCTTTTGCCGCCACCGCCGAGTGCGCCGAAGAGACGCTGATGAGGGGCGAGGGTTATTTGGGTATCGTTTCTGTTGGATTTTGGGGCAGCGACCTATTGGCTATCAATTCAATGTGTATCATCTCATAACTACTCGCATTGCAGGAAGCAGCATTCTATGTACGCCGTGCCAGACATTTCACTCCCTCCCGTGTATTTCAGGTCGAATGCCGGTCTTCTGAGTTTCTACCGCAGCTTGAGACTCGTCTTGTCGATGACGAGGAACACCCGGGGTTATCACTCTATCTGCCGCGGCAGCGTTGACTTTGGCTCCAGGATGCGCTTCGCGTTCGAGCGCAATCCTGTACCTGCAGGTTCTTGTTTAGGCAAGCTGTGTTTGCGCCCTGCTTCTCGAATTGTTCTCGGTGAGCGTCTTTGTCTGAGAGCGGATATGGCTGAGACTGGTTGGGATGGGACTAAGGTGTTTCAGCTATGCATAAGCGGATCATAGGATGTGAGGTGAATGTGATCAACGACTCGGCCTTGCTCTCGTGCATCGGATGCGTGCGTGTAGGATGGACCACATCCCAGCAGAGGCCTCTCGAACACACCGGTATGCCGGGCTAATACCGTACCGCTTTCATCCAGGAAGTCTCGACTTATCTGATAGCGGTGCGTTACCCCACGTTATCGAATAGGGCAGACGTGCATGCGAAGATCAGTACGTACACAATGACTGCAGAGTGCAAACCGTTACCAAGAAACTCATGCGTTGATGCGTTCCCATTGGCCGGTCCGATATAAGTCTAGCGTAGCACCCACGGTTTGATTCCAGGATGCATGCCTTGAGGATTGTTGGCGTGAGGTTGTCTGCTCAGTTGCCGGGAGGACACGTCGGTAGTTGGGTGCCTCTGCCGCTTTACGCAGCAATGTTAGAGGCTCGACAAAGCGCTGTGATTGGCCGATCTTCGCAGCGGTCATTTGCATTATCAGATAAGCCGCGCGGTTCGATCTGTGGCGGAGGGAGAAAGTTGGAGAAACCGGGTCTAAAATTGGGCTCGGGCGATGCCGCTGGAATGTGGTTGGCTGAGCGAATGCCGTAGGGGCGTGATGACGGCCGGCCATTGGTCAGCGGCGTCATATTTGGCTCTGTCCCCGAGTACGGTAGTCCACAGCCAGCGTTTCTCACTCTGTCCGGCGCGGGTGCAGTCAACCTCTCTTGCTCGTCGACCACCATGTTGTCACGGCTCTCCCGCAATTCCCTTCCCCGCTCGGCCCTCAGGGCGTCGTCCAAGGCCACAAAGCAGGCCCGCCGCGCCTTTGTTCAGCCCTCTGGCGCTGATAGAGCCAGTGTCGTCGATGTTCCCTCGACATATCAGGACGACAACCTCTATACCCCCCGGCCAGGTGCGTAGTCTTTATCGTGATCAAAGAAAAGTGCTCATTTGATTCCCAGATATGCTTGGTTTCAGGCTAGAGACACCTCGCCATGAAGGGTCGTTGCTCGAGAAAGCACGGCCTATCTATCTGGATATGCAGGCAAGCGACAAAGGATATTCCCCGAGATGTTGTACTCACTTTCAGTGATGTAGGCTACAACACCTGTAGATCCGCGGGTCCTGGATGCCATGTTGCCCTACTTCACGGACCAATATGGTAATCCTCACAGCCGGACGCACGCATACGGATGGGAAGCAGAGAAGGCCGTGGAGGATGCAAGAAAGGTTGGTATTAGCTGACAATGCCGGAACCTGGTGTTTCTGATTACGCCCTTTCACTAGCACGTTGCGGACTTGATTGGTGCCGATCCAAAAGATATCGTCTTCACTTCTGGAGCAACCGAAACGAACAACATGGCCATCAAGGGCGTGGCTCGATTCCACAAAGACAAAAAGCGGCATATCATCACGACGCAAACTGTATGGTCGTCACTCATGCATGCAACCTCGGTCCTAATATCTTTATTATAGGAGCACAAATGCGTACTGGACTCATGCCGGAAACTCCAAGAGGAGGGCTTCGATGTGACCTATCTGCCAGTTCAAAAAAACGGTGTCATTGATCTGGCGGAACTCGAGAAGGCTATCCGACCGGATACATCCCTTGTTTCTATAATGACAGTGAACAACGAGACGGGTGTTATCCAGCCCATCAAAGAAATCGGTGCTCTGGTTCGGAAGCACCGCGGAGTCTACTTCCACACCGATGCTGCTCAGGCCGCAGGGAAGATTCCCGTCGACGTAAACGAGTCAAACATCGACCTCATGAGTCTGTCGGGACACAAAATCTACGGTCCGAAAGGCGTGGGTGCCGCATACGTGCGCCGGCGACCTCGCGTCCGGTTGGAACCGATTATCAATGGTGGTGGACAGGAGCGTGGGTTGAGGAGCGGGACGCTGCCCACGGCGTTGATTGTGGGCATGGGCGAGGCGGCCCGGATAGCCAAGATGGAGATGGCGGTGAGTAGTCTTTTGTTTGACGGGCTGTGATGGATACTTTGCCAAGGGCTCTCAAGGAGCCCGTTTTATTTCGAAAGGAGCGGCATTGCGTGCTCGGGACTCGTTCTGGGCGGCGGCCGGCTTCTTTGTGAAGCAGACGCAGGGGTACTGAGCCCAAAGGGAAGTGAAGGACTTGAAGGCTGACTTGTTCTTGTTCAGAGGGATCATGCTCGGGTTAAGCAGCTTTCGGACCGCCTGATCCAGGGCATTAACTCGCAAGTCCAGCACGTTGTGCGGAACGGAGACCCGGATGGGTACCCCGGGTGTGTCAACCTGAGTTTCGCATACGTTGAGGGCGAGAGCTTGTTAATGGCGCTCAAGGTGCGTCATATGCGCTTTCATCTGAACCTTCTGGTCCTGACCCTTGCTTGGCTTGTATAGGACATCGCGTTATCATCCGGGAGCGCTTGTACGTCCGCGTCATTAGAGCCGTCGTATGTCCTCCGCGCGTTAGGCGCGGCCGAGGACATGGCGCACTCGTCGCTGCGGTTCGGCCTTGGCCGGTTCACGACGGAGGCGGAGGTGGATTTCGTTGTGGAGAAGCTCGTGGCGACCGTACAGAAGTTGCGTGATATGAGGTCAGTGCTGGTCTGCTTCCGTCCGCTAGCTTGCCTCGTGTGCTGACGGTGGTTTTGCACTCTTCTAGTCCGCTTTGGGAGATGGTGCAAGAGGGCATCGATATCAGTTCCATTGACTGGTCTCAACACTAATCGGAAACGTTGTATTTTTATTGCTTTGAATGGGTGTAGTTGTGGGGGGTCGGTGTGGATTCAAGTGCTCTTGTACTCTCATTTTTCCAGTAATTAGTGTCACGTAGTTTACCGCATAATGCCTGCATGCAATGTTATGTTCTCGGTCATGAATATCAAGTTGAACGTCATTGTGGCACAGAGGTCCCGAGGAGCTCCTCGGCATGCCCGGCAGCTCTGCACGGACCACTGCGCCTCGAGGATATGGAATTGGAACTCAGCTTGAGACTCCTGCACTCTCTCTTCTCCCCCATCATCTCCCTCTTTCTGCTCCCTGCTCCCTGCTTTACACTACTAGTGCTTACGATGGCCCGAAGACTTTATCTTGGAAGTAAGAAACTCCTTGTATTGGATGAATGTCGTCGGTACTGAGGGGCTTATCGCGTAGAATTACCCGCTGACGCGCGGACTGACGATGTTTCGAAAATGTTCGAGGGCTATGGGCGGATTGTCGACTGCCGTGTCATGACCGGTTGGTAGCTCTGCAGGTACTAGCCGCGGACTGGTAATGACCTTTTTCGTGCCCTCGTAGGCTTTGGGTTCGTCGAGTTTGAGAACCCTCGCGACGCGGAGGACGCCGTGCACCATTTCAACGGGAAGCAGTTTATGGGCGCGAGTATCGTCGTCGAGTTTGCGAAGGAGACGCGTCGCACAAGGGGTGATGTCTACGAAGGTGATCGGTATGTATGGGTGTTGTGGGTGGTAGGTGGGAAGGTGCTGATCTCCGGGATGTTTTTTCGCTTTTTAGTAGGGGTCCTGCGCCGCGTTCGAAGCGCCCTCCCGGTATCAGGTTGATTGTTGCGGGTATTTCGCGCGATACTAGCTGGCAGGTATGCGGCGTTTCCTTCTTGCGCCAGGTCCAGGCAACTACGGATACTCGTTGGCGCGCCTCGTTGTGCCGTGGCGTCGAACTCGATGGACCCTAACACCTCACCCATAGGACCTCAAAGACTTTGGCCGTGAAGCTGGCAGCGTCTCGTACGCCGACATCGACCGCGACTATCCTGGGAACGGGTACGACCACACAGTGCTGCGGATGTGCTGCCTCATTCTTATTGGCTGGACCTAGTATTTTGGAATATCTCTCTCGGGATGATGCCGACCGTGCCGTCAAGGACTTGGACGGTAAGGAGCTCCGCGGGCGTGCCGTCCGCGTGACCTACGATGATTCTGTGCGTCTGCATCGTAACATTCCGGTGGAGTGTCATGCTGACCTTGCCCACCTTAGCGCGCCACGGTAGACAACTACCGCCGCGATGATCGCCGCGACGATCGTAGGGGAGGGTACGAGCGCTCTTCATACAGAGACGACCGTGTCCCCCACCGTCGCGAACGCTCCAGGTCGCCCGCTGGTCGACGTGCCTATGACCACGATGATCGTCGCCCCAGGTCTCCGCCCCCGCCCAAACGGGAGCATGATGATAGAAGGCCTGCAGGGTACGATGATCGGCGTGGAGGTCGTTATGATGATTATCCAGCGCCTGACCCTTACTATGATCGTCGTAGGGATGACTACGAAAGACGCAGGGACGACAGGCCGAGGCGTGAGGAGAGGGACGACCGCTATGATGACAGGTCTTCCAGGGCAGCTCCTGTCAATGGGGATGCTGGTTGGAGTCGCCAACCGGCCGTCTGAAAAATGGTCGAAAAGCAAGATATGCAAGATTCCCATGGATGATGTTTTCTTTTCTAGTCTGCTGTGCACCGTCGATGGTTTCTCCCCCTCCTGGTTATGGTCCTGGTCGAATAATGGCGTTGGCGCGTGGCGAAGGAGTTGTACTATTTCACATGGTCGATACCCGCTGGTCCACTAGTACGCACGTTAGGATATGGTCCCGTTCGGGTGTCTTCCTCAGGTCGTTGGCCCGGGCTCGCGATCTGGCAAGTGTGTGTCCTCAACTTGGATGGTCAGCAAGACGGCAAGATCGATTTGTGCTAGAGGTATCTTGTGGAGCCACACGTTTATCCATCGTGGATTCGATTGGGCCTTCGTTGATCGCTGGAGGCGCCCGATGTTGGTTATCGCCACAACATGAGAGTTACCGAGTTGTTCGTTAGTATGGGCCTGCCTCGTCTCCTGAGATGCCGTTTGTTGGACGATGGTTCCCGTACAGAAGCGCCGATGGTCCATGGGTGACGCTGGTCGTTCCTTTGGTGTTCCTTGTACTGGACGTATCATTGCTGGCCGCGAATGGACGTACGAGCGCTTCGCGGAGTGGTCCCATCGTTGTGCAGGCACCCTAGACGGTTTCGTGGGACCTCGGATCGATGCATCGGTTTGTGGGTCCCAGGTGTACTAGGAAGGTGAGTTGTTTCTGTGTGGACACTGACAATCGGCTGCTTGTTTGTATATTATGTGGTTGACAATATAATGCGTTTAACTGCTCTCGTGTGTGAAGAGTTCCCATGTCGTCCCACTGCAGTCAATATGTGGGACTAGTCGGTGAGTAGCGTCAATTTCAATGAGCTCGCTGGCTCTGTATTTCGCGTAATCCGCGATGTACATATAAAGTGAGCCTGGGCAGTATGCGACCAAGCACGGTCCTCCCGACCTCAAAACCTACGTCTAATCTACTCCGCAATCCTGACGACGACCTCGGCGCCCTCGTCCAGGCCGAGCCACTCGACCTCCTTGGCGCCGTCGCGCGCGGCGTCGAGCTCGGCCTCGGAGCCGTCGCCCGGGAGCTTGAGGAATATGCGGATGTCGTCGGGTTTGAGTTTGGGTACCGGGGGAGACGGGGCAGGGAGAGACTTGAGCAGCTTGAGCACGCGGAGGCGGAAGGTGCGCAGGGGGGTGGTGGGGAGGATGCGCAGGGGGGTGGGCGGGTGGGAGGGGAGGTGGAGGGTTATTTCTGGCGGCATGGATGGTGTTAGTTGGCTTTGGGGTAGGAGGAAGGGAGAGGGAAGGGCTGAGGGAGGGACGCACGGATGAGCTTGTCCGCGAGCTTCTCGTGGTCTGGGCGCGTCCGTCGGAGGGAGGGCTCGTCGGGCTGGCCGTGTTCTGTTTGGGTCGGCGGGTCAGCGTCGGGGTTCGGAAACAAAGAAGGGCGGGAGAGGAGACGTACTCTCGACGAGCTCGGCGTACCGGCCCCAGCTGGCGCGGTCGGGCGCGGGGACGTGCTGCGTGATGTGGGAGAGGTAGAGGAGCTCGGCGTCGAGGCGGTCTTTGGGGGTGATCTAGGGGGGATTAGTTTGGCAGGTGACGAGAAAGAGGGACGCACGGGCGCGCCGTCGAGAGAGGTGAGCGTGGGCAGCTTGGCGATGGCGAACGCGCGGGTGTACGAGCCTGTGTTCGGATCTGTAGTACTACCATCAATATATACGGCTGGCAGGGCACATGGACGGATGTGACTGACCGTCGAGCAGGGGAATCGCGCGGATCGCGAGCCCCTCGAGCGCGGGGCACCACCCGCGCAGATTATCGACGCTCGCCCAGTCCGCGAGGGGGTTGCCCGAGAGTGAGAGGTGCTTGAGGGTGCCGAGTTCGGCGGGGGAGGGCGCGGGCGGGATGGCGGCGATGCGGTTGGACGCGAGGACGAGGCGGGTGACCGCGGGGAAGAGCGGGGAGAGCGCGGGGAGGGCGGCGAGGAGGTTCGTGTCGAGGTTGAGGAGGGCGAGGTTGGCGTGCACGTGGGCGGGGCAGGAAGGGGAGAGCGGGGACGGGAGGGAGAGGGAGTTGTATCCCGCCTCGAGGGTGTGTAAAGAGGGCAGGAAGGCGAGGATGGTGAGCAGGGATGGCCAGGGGGTGAGGGTCGCGTTGAGCTGGAGCTCGGTGAGCGACTGGAAGGAGGTGGGCAGGGGCGGGGAGGGAGGAGAGGCAGGGAGCGGGGACAGCGCGAGGCGGGTGGAGTTGAGCGCGAGGCGGGTGAGGTGCGGAAGTTGCGCGGTGAGGGTCGCGAGCGCGGGCCAGGAGGGGAGCAGGTTCAGCGAGAGGTCGAGGCCTCTGATGTCTGCGTTCATAGTTCTTCAGCGTTTCAACCAATTCACAATAATACGCCACACGCACTCGGACAGCGCTCCGCGACCTGCGGCGGCTGCTCCGCCCACGCGATGTGCGCGCCGTCGAGCGAGACCTCGACGAGCCGCGCCAGGTCGGCGAGGTTCGAGCGAACCTTGGCGAGCCCGACGGCCTCGACCTGGATGAGCCCGTGCGACGAGCCGAGCGTGACAACCTCCTTCGAGGGCGCGGGCGAGTCGTCGATGTACTTTTCCGTGAGCGCGGCGAGGAAGGAGCGCCCGTACGACAGGCCCTTCGCGGCGGGGCGGATGAAGGACGCGGCGGTGGGGTGGTCGGTCCTATGGGAGGGTTGGACGGGAGCGGGGACAGAGGGAGGAGGTACGTACGCACAGCGAAAGTAGCGCTTGCCGTCTTTGCACCCGTCGTGCTTGCCCCGCTGCGGGTCGTCCCACTCGACGCCGAGCCACGTCCCGTGCGTGCCGTCGACGGGGCCGACGTAGCGCACAGTGCCGAGCGAGTTGTTGAGCACGATGCGCGCGCCGACGGGCGGGGACGTGTCGGGCATGGCGAACAATGGATTGTGGCAAGAGCAGAGATACTCGAGAAGCGCCGGCTGTCGCCGGTGGTATATCTTGCGACCAGGCCAAACGCGTCTCTCCTTTGTCTCTCCTGCCACCCCCTAGTCTTTGAAAATAACACGGATTTGCATTTCATATGATAATATCGAACATCTCCCATTCTCTAAGATTCGCCCAGATACAGTATATTTATATTGCCAGTGTCTCTGTGGGCCTAAGCATTCAAGGTTTGAAGAATCCAGAACTGCAAGTGGCAGGGCATCTACCACTACACATTGCCAGGACCCGGCTGCCCCGGGCCCGCTCTCATCTCTTCCCCGTGTATCCTGTGCTGACATGGTATGTACAGCTTAGCACATCAATGTCCCCGACTGCTGATATTCTTATGGCATCCAATGTTCAAGTATATTGTGCTCTGCTCATTTCAGCTGGCACATTGATATCTCCAAGCATGAGTGCAATACTTGTATGTTGTAGTATTCACCATCAAACATGACCCATGTACCTCACAGGTCATAATGTCGGAAAAATCCAATAACCCATATCAGGTCTGACGAAGCCTGATGGTCTTATAATGCCTGATAGGGTTTGGTTTCTATCCTGGTCAGGACTTATCAGGCCCGATAAGATGTGACAGTGCTTCCGGTCTCGTATACATGTTTTTAGTACCTTGCACCTAAAGTAAGTAAGTACTATGCAACTTGTGAATTAAGTGCATTACCATGATGCCCTTGTACTGCGGGATTATAATAATGAAGTGGTGTTGCATATGCCCCATACACACAGAAGGAACCAGATGACGGTATATAGCATGATTTGTTTCGCATTTAGTATTGCACATTTAGTATAGTAGTTGACTCGCGCGACCTAATTCTCTGTCGACTTGGCGGCCCTGTGTTTGAACCTGACCAGTGCACTCAGGTTACCTAAGATGCTAATTGGACCATAAAATGCATGTAAGGAGAGAGACTACAAAATCAGCTGAGTTGGGGAACAATGAAGGCGGAAGTGAAGTGAGATTTTTATTATCATTCGTGGAAAACCCTATAAGGTCTCATAAGACCTGATCAGGTAGTGTCAGGCTGATCAGGCTCCATCAGGCTGGTAGCGCGTTATTCCATATTTTCGAACCTAATATGGGTATTAACGACCTGATGGCCTTATTGGACCTGATAAGTTCTTACAATGTCCAATAAGGTTTTTCGGAATTTCCGACAAATATTCTAGGATGTGAGTGAGTGCTGCTCACTACTTAGTACTGTGGCAGCATATGTGAGTAGCTGAAGGGATCAGACCCAATGCTGTGGGTATGTAGGATGCAGGCACATTTGGGAATAGGCTGTGAGTCGCCTTACTCCCTCTATTCTTCACTGTAAGTTCTCATAGTCCTCTATCAGTCAGAAAATTTTAGTTTGTTAGCATTTCATATCATTCACTTTTGCAGTGTCATTCTTCAGGGTCCAATAAATGGTATGAGTAAGTGTATAAGAGCTAACTTTATGTGCCTAGGAAACTGCAGTATCAGAATTACCTCTGCCAATGTGATTCTTCCCTCCCAGTAAGCAGTTCTAATTGGGACTAATAGTGGCAGTCAGACTGAGCAATTCCCGGTGGATTCACGCAGCAATTCTGCTGTGATTCCCAGTGCTGAACCTCACACCGAATATACAGGTACCCTGACCGACATGATTCAGGTGGTGGTTTCCGCTATCGACTCAGGGCATGGAATCAGGCTTGTTATACTATGATGTTAGTTCTATCACTATAGCTTGGGTAGAGTATTTATTCTATGATTTCTATAGACTCACTGCGTTCCGCACACGCATATTTACGGTACGAACAGATGAGACCACGTCCGGCCGGCCCATCTGTTCGGACCGCAACCATGTGGTCGACTGTAAGTGCAACAGTTACTTCCAGTTACTCGTAGTCGAACGCTCAGGTCATGTAGTATTAGAACTTAGAATACTTGTGTCTACTTAGTAGATGCTACACCTCAAATAGATGTGTCTGCAACCTGTATAATAAATTCCAGTACATGAGACTACATGCTCTGCCCGATGTTTGAGTACCTGTGCCCATGGATATAAATAATCGCGCAAAATGCTATTTTTATTCATTTTACATATCATTAATTAATATCAAATAGCGTGGCATTATCTGTCAAAACGCGTACACGTGAGCGACGCGTATGCATGTACGCGGTCCGGGAACTAATATCGACTGATAGGCGACGCGCGTCTCCACAGTCTTGAGTTATGGATCCCGTCCGTCCTCTCTGGTACCCTCCCGATCAATGGGATCATCTGGCCAGAGATCTCCAGTATCAAATTGCTGTGCCGTCAAGAGCACCTATGCATGACTTCGGTAGAGATGGTCCTCGCGGAGATCCGTATCCACCGCAGAACGTGGTCCAGCAAGTTGTTGATCCTAATTTGCAGCAGTAAGTAATCAGTAGAGGCTCTTGCGATATGGATCTGCCAATTCTCTAGACTCCCGGACAGCGAAAACGCGAAGAAGAAGAAGACGAAGAAGAAAAGGAAACACAAGAAGGCCGCCGGCGCAGACTTGGACAACACAGAAACGGCCCACCAGCCGAAGAAACCAGCACTAGCAAGAGGAGCCGGGGAGCAAGTCAACCCGCATAGCCAGAATCAGAACCAAGGCCAGACGTGGATGCAAGCCCAGATGCAGACGCCAGGGCAGACGCAGACACAAGACCAGTCGCAGACGCAAAATCAGTCACAGATGCAAGACGAGTCGGCACGTTCCGATGGGAGGCAGGACATATCACTGTAAGCAAGTGTCCTCAGGTCGTGAGGTACTCACCTTTTCCCATCCACAACATGCAGCCATCCCTCCGAGAGCCCACTTCGCTTCGCTTCCTCGCCGACATCCTCCGAGCATCTGAAAGGGTATTTGTACATTAGCTGCATATAGTCGTCATTTATTCATCAGTTACCTTCTCCGTAGACTTCCGACACCCCGCCATTGGACTCCCCCGCTGCCGCAGCACGCATTCAGCCACCGCCAGCAAGTTGAGTGCCCTCTGTTCGGAAACACGCATGTTCAAGCACCAAGTGAAGAAGAGAACACGGCACTTACCCGGACCCTGGTCGACGACGTGAAGAGACTGGAGCAACATAATGCCACGCTGAAGGCGGAATGCACTGCAATGCGCAAGCGACAAACTAACCTAGAGATGATGATTCAAAGTATACGAAGTGAAGCTACTGAACACCAGATACGAAGCTCCAACCAAGCCGGCGGACCCGGCAAAGCCTCCAGGACGCGCCACAACCGCGCGAAGCATGATCGCATACGACGCGGAGAAGAATCATCTGAAGAATCAGATACTGACGAACATAACCATGAGTTAGCTTTACAAGAGCAATTCAAATACCGAACTCTCCTTCAACCCAACCTGCCACCTCATCTCCGCGCTGCCAGAAATTTCTTGCAAGTGAGTAAAGCCTGCTTGGTCATTGTGTTTGAGCTAATGCGGGCGGAATCCAGTGCCAGGTGTTCCGCCGTTTATGTGGTGTTAGCAAGTCCACAGCTTGGCCGAGTATTGATGAAACGAGGACGAACCCAGAAACCGACGAAGAGTACTACACCCCGGACTTCGACGAAGACGTGACCCACGCAACGAATAGCGCGATATGTAAGCGCGTAGCCGAGGTGGTTTATTCTGAATTAAAGGTACCATTGGCACCGCCTTCTCTTCGTGGTACTTTGCTGACATGGTTGTCTTCATTCTAGGGCCTTCAGGAGCCACCAGATGAGCTACGCCACGCGGACGTGTTTTACAGCCGCCGGACAATTGAAGAAATGGCCAAGAACACTTACCGAGGCTTTCGTGAGCAAGCAAAGGGGCAGCGGAATGATTCCAAGGCACGGAAACGCAAGCGCAACAAGCGCAATACACGTCGCTACCAGCATCGCTTCCACGTACATACTGTCTCGATGTTCTGCTCTCATGGTCCCTGATGATATCAACGTAGACTCTTACTCACCTTCCGACCATGGTCCCCGAGTATATCAAGGTGTACGGCCAGGATCCGACGCCACTCCTCGAGATTGATGTTCTGTCCGACTACGCATCAGGGCCGGACTCAGACGACAATGAGCCTCAGCACATGTGGAAGGCTCGTATGGGAACTAAGGTGGGTGTGGATGTCAGGAAGGTCGACAAGGAGATGTGGGCGGGTACCACATTCTGGGAGCATATTGCACCTGAATGGTGTTCTGATGAGGTAAGTCTAAGATGGGTTGTGAGCTCTTCTCATCACGGAGTGCGCTCAGGTTACCACAATACTCGATCGGCTTCAACGGCTATTTCTCCTCTCTTTGGACAAAAACAGGCGGAAGAAATACCTGGCCTATCGTGTCTACCGAACTGGGCGGACCACGACTGCACCCCCGGCATTCGTTCCTTGGGACTTTGCTATCTCTGAGGACTGGTGGAATACTCACGGCCCATCCTGGAAGAAAGAGATCAAGCGTTGGACTTTGCGCGGAGATCCCGAGGGCTTTGGCAGCAATGATCCTCATCGTGTTCCCTTGGCCGCTTCCTCCTCTGCGCCTACTCAATAATTGGGACTACCTTGTGTGTTTCTCTCTTGCTCCCGCGCTCTCGTAGTAGAATCCGACTCGTAATTCTTGACGGCCACGGACCGGCTTCACCTCTCGCTTTGATCTCGTTGGACACCCGTGTTTGTCGGGTACATCATTGTTGTTTCTGCTCGAGTAAATCACATGTAATTCAGTACAATAATGCGAAGTGCTTCATATAAACATATCTGAAGCATAAAATCTTGACAGACGGGCCTTTCGAGAGTCGAAAGGCCATGTAAGTGAGAAACAATTGAAACTGCAAAGGTCTCAGTAAGGAGAATGTATCACGAAGTCAAGAGGTCTTTTAATGCTATTGAATCCTGGGCGGAAGTATGGTCAGAATGATCAGTGGTATTGACAGGAAAGGATACATACCCGTTCCATCGTCATGGTGATCCATAGGTCTTGCTGTGTTGAGCGGTATTCTCCCCGTGAGAGCTGACAGCGGATCGCGCTGAAAGGTACAATTGGAGGGGGAGCATTCCAGTTGTCCGCTTGATAGTACTGCCCATGAGCCCAAAAGCGGATCTCGAGCTCCGGGCTGCATGAGTTAGGTTTAGTATTGTTAGGAAGCGATGTCCTAACTAGTCGTCTTGAGATAACTGGGCCACGTGCCAACAGTTATGTCGTCACTACCTCAGTAAGCGTACTGAAAGGTAGGTCTGGCCGGGCCAATGCCAACGGTCAAGTCAAGAGTCCAGGTAATCGCTGTATTCAACAGGAGGTTGAACTAAGGAATACATGGGTTTTCCTACAGTATATATAGTAACTGGTATAGGGGTTAATACCCAAAGAAGAGAACAATAAGAAAGGATGCGTAAGCCATCCTGTGAGAACGTAACTCAGAGAAATGAGAAATACAAGGGCGCTCATTGGTAGAAGGTGAGTCAAGGAAGATAACGTGTGAGAAGAAGATAGCGTCCATGGGAAGGTCTACTCGGAGAAAGGTACTTGTCCAATAGCAATGCTCGGAATGGAAATGGAATGAGATAAGCATGGGAAAATCATAACATTACCCCCTTCCTATGGTCGAAGTTTACCCAAACTTCCTAGTTATGACCGGTTACTGAACCGTCCAGGTCCACAAGA